AGACTGCCTTATTGAATATATAGCATAAAGGGGAAGAAATGTAGGGGGCACTAATTTTTGGTGCCTTCATCGAAATCTCATCATATCCAGATGAATTTTTTAATGTAAAGGAGAGATAACTTTTCCAATTTTTTTAGTTGTTATTTTATTGAATATTACAAGGAGCATTCCGTATATAATGACTCCTATTTTTTTAATGAAAACTACAACAGATACAGAAAGTATAATAACGCAGTTAAATAGAGCAAGATTTCAGCTATTTACAGTTACTTTTCCACATAATCACCGCCATTTGTTGTGCACTTTTGCCAGTGATGAACAAGAGCCTGTATGCCGCATCTGTAAAAGTCTGCGCCAGCAGAGGCTAGCCACTTTCTTACAGCTGCAATGACAGCATCATTGTCTGGAAAATGTTGCCCATGTAGTCCATCTTTCATAGGCCCAAACAGATGGAAATCTGAAGGTGCTAAATCAGGGCTATAAGGTGGATGTGGTAGGACAGTCCAGCCAAACTTTGCGATGTGCATGGTGGTCGCCAAACTGGTATGGGGTCTAGCGTTATCGTGTTGCAAGTGAAAGGTTATCTGCTTCTCTGGCCTGACTCGGGAAATGCAGGCTTTCAGCTTAGTCAGCATCGTCTTGTAGCGTTCAGAATTGACAGTCTCACCAGGCTCCAGAAAATCCAACAAAATCACACCCCACCTATCCAAAAAGACCATGCACATCACTTTCCCTGCCAATGGCTGTGTCTTGAACTTCTTTTTTTTTGGGGGAATCCGGATGTCACCACTCCATGTACTGTCTTTTGGATTCTGGCTCGTAGTGGTGACACATCTCACCTCTGGTGACGATGCTGTCCAGAAACTTGTCACCTTGAGCCTCAAACTGGTGCAGCAGGTCTTGACAGACTTCCATTCGATGAGTTTTGTGGTCCTGTGTAAGCATCCGCGGGACCCACCTGGAACAAACTTTGCGATAATCCAGCTTCCCCAACATAGTTTCCAGTGCATTACAGCTGATATTAAGCTGTGCACACAGTTCCCTGGTCATTATCCGCCAATCTGAATGAATGAGGCGCTGTTCATTGTGAGGAGTGGCAGCTGAGCAGGGACGCCCAGGGCGTGGCTTGTCGTGCACTTCACTTTCGCCACTGTTGAAACGCACTACCCACCGCCTCACTGTGCTGACATACACTGTATCGTCTCTGTACACCTTTAGCAAGTGTCAATGGATGTCAGTGGGTGCAATTTGTTCAGCAGTGAGAAATTCAATAACACATCTATGTTTCGTACGCACTTCTATGTCAGACGCCACTTTGGTAGACTGCTCTGCTGTCTCTATCTGTCGCACAACAACCAAACTAACAGTACATTGGCGGGAGGGTTCAACCTTCACTACAACACCACCAACATCCAGCTCAGACGTTACATATTAACACAAAGAAATAGGAGGCGTTATATACAGAACACCCTTCGTATATTGGGAAAGGGGCCCTTAGCTGTCAACCTTCAGGTTCCATAAAATGGTGGGATGTTCTTGAGTAGTTGCACAACTGGCAGCTTCTCAAGGAGTTTTGCCAAACAGAACACTCATTTTTTGGGCACAAGTTGTCTTAGGAAATGTGGTATAGTCACTGCCCTAATTGAGACAGAGCTCATTTTATGTTAATTTTGAAGCTAATAAAAGTTCCATTCCGTTGACAGTTATACCAATATATTCAGCGTTATGTGTACAAGGTATTCACATTTGACCTTTGACCTTGCATTTCTAAAAATGAGGTATTTTAATTTTATGTATATATATTATTCTTGTAATTATTAGTTAAAGCATTTGCAGGCACAGTGAAACTTTGATTTTGCGATTCCAGATTTTATATTTTTCACGAATTTACATATTTTTGCATGTTCTCAGCCAAATGCCCATAACAATAATGTTGAAGTCTAATGGGTTTTACTTTTCCTCAATTTCACATATTCCCCGAATTTTCACTTAATTTTTCTAGTCCTGACTACTGAAATTTACCAGATTTTACATTTTTTCAGTTCAGTTCTCAGAATTTCTTCTTTGCGGTAGTGGACTTCCTTCCTTGTTAGCAGTTGCAAATGGTTAAGTGAAACGTGATAAAATAAATATTCGAGCACAAGTTGATGCACATATTGGCACAGTTGTAGATCTGCCATCATGCTTGAGACTTTTATTGCCCTTCCTAAATACACTTGTGAAGAACCATGAAGAAATTGAGAGAAGTTACATCCAATGTGGACCTTTCTCCAAGCAGCAGAAATTACTGAAACGTTTGCCACTTGAGGAACTGGAGAATCTGCACTACTCGTAGCTACATGGTTCCATAGATGGCACACACCTCAAGGAGAAGGCTTAAACATCGCTGCTCATCTGGGAATAGCCAGCTTTTCAACTCCAACAGATGGATCAACATGTTTAAGAAGTTAGACAGCATTGTTTACAGAACTGTGTCAGGTGAGAGCAGGTTGTGTTGATCCAAAAAAAAAAGAAGACTGGAAAAATTACCAACTATTGCAAGAAATTGAAGGTGATATATAATATTACAGTGCTGATGAGTCTGATCTATTTTTCAGTCTAAAGTTTGGCAAAACCCCCAGTTTTCAAGGACATTTTTGCCACAGTGGTATGAAATCTAAACAGTGGGTTACTGTACTCACATGCAATGCTTATGGTAATGATAAACTGCCACCTCTTGTAACTGGAAAATATAGAACTCCACATTGCTTCAAGAGTGTCAAGAGACTGCCAACAAATTATGAAGCTAATACAAATTCTTTGAATGACCACGAAATTTTTTTAATATTACCTCATGCAGCTATACAGAAAACTGGGTACCAAAATCACAATATCTTGCTTTTCACTAATCAGTATGCTGCCCACCTCAAGAACACCACATTTCTCAGCAATATCAAAGTTGTATTTCTTCCAGCTAATTGTACTGTCTAGCTACAGTTGTTAGATTTGGGAATCATCCATGCATTCAAGTTTAGGCACAATAGATCACTGTGGTCACGGTGCAAGGGCGAAGAAGGCCCACCCCTTATACATATTCAAGTGCCATTACAGAAAGCAGTTGATTCAGAAGACTGTAGCCATGATAGATGGAGGACTGTTCCAAGATGCTATGCAGCTGAAGCTGGATATGTTGTCTGCAGTGCTCTTCCACCTAGATTCTGATAAGAACCACTGCAGTCAAGAATGCTTTGTGAAGTGCATTTTCTCAATTGATGTTGTCAGTAGCAATGACAGCAATGCAGTGAAACTCAGTGAAGGTGAAGAGGATGACTTGTACAGTTTACAGCATCTTTGAGTGCAGTTTGAGGGCTACACAACATGTGACCATGCTCTTGAGGTTATGGAATCCAGAGTGTTGACCAGGTGTTGGATCAACATTTGACTAGTTCAAAAGAAGAGGAAGTACATGTGTCAATTTGATGCCAAGAACAATATTATTATAATGTGCAGCAAAGTTGGAACTGAATTATACAGACTGAGAGCCTAATAATGCTTAAAGAAATCACGAAACTAGGTACAGCTATGTACCATATTTGCCAATCTGTCCAGGTGAATACTGGAATAACACCATGATACAGACTATGTCTGCTTCCTTCCTCTTTTTCTCCATTCATCAGTTATAATCACCATCTCATCTTACTGATGCTACATAAGAACAGCAGTTGATAAAATGTCATAAAATAAACCAAGAACCACATTTGTATCTACATTTGCATTGTTAAGTTTTCAAATGTATTTTTTAAATGATCTTCCAAATAAATGGTATAAAGAAAATCAGATTTTCTGTACACTTTCCTCAGTTTTACAGTTGTTTTAGGTGACCCCTTAAAAGCTGTAAGATTGAGGTTTCATGGTATTCTGATCATAATGTTTTCAAGTAGTATTCAAATAAATAAATTTGTAAAGATTATGGCATCCTCAGGTCACTTGTTTGTATATCTTAGAGGTGTTATGTTACATAAAAAAGCACAAAGCAGATTTGATCCAAAATATAAATATTCATAGTTATAATACAAGAATAAACAAGGATTTTTATGTTCAGTTCTGCAGAACTACATTATTTTAAAAAAGTGGTAAATATAGGGACAGAATTCTATAGCAAGGTGCCAAACAAAAAAAAAAAAACTCAGTGAGTTTTTCAGCTTTTAAAAAAGACTTTAAATCCCTTTTATACGATAAATGAATTTGTTAGTTTTAATAAAAAGGTGGATGGTGCAAGTACTTATTTCGGATGTCATAGCACCTCATGAGCTCTGTATAGTAGTTCGTGTATTTTTTGAAATGTTGTATATATATGTTAGTTAGTTAGTTATTTATTAGAGAGGGTGGGTTTCCCCATGCACTTAGACCTGTAGTGGTCCATTGTGCTTCCCTCTATGATTTCTACCACCAGCCTCTATATCCTACCGGTATTGGTGCTTACCATCAGTCCCACCCAGCCAGGGAGACCGGCTCTACTGGCTGAGAAGTATCTATAATGCTTCCCCCATCTACCGGAGGTATTAGTGACTGCTGTCGGGCGGCAAACGTCCACAATTTTGCTCAGTGACCTCCCTTGGAGATATGAGGTTCTTTTACTTGCCGTAAAGCTACGACACGGGAGCCACGGCTTAAAGTCCCTCCCGGAGGACTTGTTCCCTGAATTTTTCCGCCCTTAAAAATTTGACGGCCTCCGCCGGGTATTTGAACCCGCGTACTACGAGTCATGAGGTGGGAACGTTACCTCTAGACTACGGAGGCTGCTGTTTATATGTTGCTTATGATTGTAACAAATGTTGGTAGTATACTTGTAACTTTGTAGATTTGTTTTGTTAACTTGTATTGCTGAATGACTTGTCCAAGTGTTACTACGTAGCAAAACGGATGAAAATAAAATACAGTACAATACAATACTTTGCTGCACTCTTAGGCAGCAGTTAGCTTTTGTTACTCCAGAGTAGTAAAGATAAACATTTGTTTAGGTACTGTCTGTTGAAGGCACCATCGTGAATATCTTGCAGCTTGGAGATGTGGTTGGGGTGTTTAATGGTCGCGCTCTCTATCTACTTGTCAAGTCACAAGACACGTCTTCAGTGTGAGTAGCTGACAACTACCTTTAATAGTAGTCCTTATAAAGTAAAGCAAAGCTATCCCTGTAACAGGTTATGGAGGCCCATAAGGTTGTGAGAGATCAAGGCTTCCATATTTTCTAGACAGTTGGCTAACAGATGGTGGTGAGGTTGTCACTGTTATGCACTGGCTGCTCGTAACCCCCAGGAAGATTCCTGGTAGTCATTTCTGTTAAAGGCTGAGTTGACCTAAGGGCCATAAAATAGCTGGAAGGATTAGGTCATTTGAAAAATCCAATGACCTTGTCAGGAATCAATCCTGTGACCTTCCGGCTTATAGCATAGTGACTCAACCAAGTATCCTACCACATGCCCCCAGTAGTAATCCTGGTATAATAGGAATCTACGTAATGCTGAAATGGTATTCACATTCCTTGTATTTTGGAACATGGTGAAATTGAGGTTATGCTCTATTATTTTTTAACAGCAGTAACTGATGGAGAAAATTAGCTCAAATGGTAACACTTCTGACTTGTATTTCGGAGGTGCCTCCTCCAAATCTCAGCCCGGACACCATGTGCCCTGACTGAGGTAAGTCTTTCAAGGCAGATGTTGGGATAGTACCTTCAATTAGGCCATGGCCACTTCCTCCATATCCTTCAAAATTTATTACTCGCTATCTTTGAATCATTTCATGCTGTATTGTCTGATTTACAGACAGTGTTGTTAAATAAAGTGCAAAAATAAATAAACAGTGATTATGAAGAGAACTGTCTTTTTGGATATAGTGCCATGTAGTCTGTTGAAAGTAAACCTTTATATTCAATGGACTACAAAATATTATATCCCAGAAAACAGTACTCTTCATAAACATCACTGTGAGAACCTCAAATCCTACACAGTAATTATATTATTACTTAAATAACAACACTAAGAGAAAGAAATGTCAGAAAATACAGTGTTTCTTGATGTAATATTTTTGCTTATTTAGTCTCCTTTGTCTAAGGTCCCATCTCTACCATCTCTTTATTAAATTTATTATACTTAAAGATTTTCCTCTGTTTAGTTCCCAGATCCTGTGCTCAACAAATAAATGTGAAAACAGATTTCACTCTACTGAAATTACAGAGTAAAAGGATCAAAGGGAACATATTTAGTTCCTTACATTAGTCAGTGATAAGTGAAGAGTTTTTCTGGTAGGACATGATGTTCTTCTTGGTGAAGTTCAAATTGTCTCCACAGGTCAGCATTAAGCCATGGAGTTGATGTTATTCATAAGGGGTCAGTGTCATTAAAGATGCACATCAGGATGCACCAAGAGGTTTTGGCTATGTGCACATTTTTAATGGGGTTTGTCCTTGTTAAGAAGAAACATGAGAAGCTCTTTATTGATGTGTACAAGTGTGGCTCAAGAATGATTCCAGCAGAAAAGAGATATTCAGTTCAGCTTCCACAGTCTTCATATGGTGTAAGTGAGGCTTCAGTACTTCAAGAATATGCAATTGAAAGAAGTATATATTTATGTAAGATTTGAGGTTTTCATGGCAGTGACTGATGAAAGCAGCCTTCTGGGATGTGGCGCCATGTAGATATAGTGTTAATCGACGTTTTGGAGGAACATATTGCCTCCATCTTCAGGGTAGAAGACAAGAAAAAATCCGCGAGCGAACCAGTGTGAGAAGGTGTAACAGGCTGAGTCCAGTCAAGTAAATACAGCTGTATAAGAGCAGGAATAGAAGGGAGAGGGGCTACATGGGAAATCGGAAGAGAAGGGGGAGGGGAATGGTCTGGGGAAGTGGCCAGCAGGTAGCAGACCAGAGCAGGTATAGAGTATGTGTTGGGGGGGGGGAAGGGAAGGTTAAATGGAGGGCATTAACCCTGAAGCTTGGGGATTGTGAAGTGAGTCAGGCATGGACATGCATGGCCTTGTGGATCTGGCGTCATGTCTCTGAGGTTTCTTGAGGGAACAGATGAGAGGCTTCCGTGACTTGCTGAGACAAAACCCCACCTCTCTGTTCATATTGTCGGGATGGATTTCAGTCTCAATGGCCTCCCTAATGATGCGATCCATATATCGGGTCTTGTCTTCTACCCTGAAGATGTAGGCGATACATTCCTCCGAAATGTCGGTTAACACTATATCTACACAGCGCCACATCCAAGAAGACTGCTTTCTTCAAGTATATACAGTAGAACTTGGTTATAACGTCATCAGAGGGACCTAAAAATAGTGTTGTTGTAACCGAAATGGGCACTTCCACAGTAGCCTTATGTTAGTCATGTAAAAATCTACCAAAAACCGAGTTAAAATGTTGCATTTTTTAGTGAATTACATAGTTAAGTACAGACTAACGTAACATTAACGTGGAATTAATATGGATTCTCCATATCGTTTGTACTGTAGAATTCACCAAACCAAATTCGCAGCATACATCAGCTTTTTTCCTTCCATTTTCTATTTCACGAATCACTTTAACTTTCTCTTCATTGCTTAAAACTTTCCTTTTCATTGCCATGTTTTCGCCACTGCACTTCTCTGGGTTTAGGCGGGAACACTATAGGGTAAGTAGACAATGTGAGGTCCTGTTAGACGAGATTCTAGGAAAGGAATGCAGTTAACAACCTGCCGCGTCCTCTTGCACTATTCACGCAGTCCCACCCCACACCCTTGTTTTCGCATAAAACCCACGCTCCTCTTGCAGCCCGCGGTTGTATTCTTCCAGGACAGTCACGTCAGCAAGTAGAGAAAGTGAGGGTGGGCAGACACATCGAACTTTCCCACGATATCAGAGAAATTCAGGAATGAAAATGACGTTACATACGAGGTTGATGCATTTGTGCATGTCGTACTAAGCATGGTATAAGAACAGTTGCTTTATGAGGAATTAGTTCATACCATTGAATATTTGACGCAATAGACAAGGTGTCGCAGAAACCGATGTTGCTATAACCAAGTTTTACTGTATTTAGTTCATAAGTAATGACTGATGTATTTCTGTGTCTGAAATAAATGTTCATTTAATATGTATTAGTAACTTGGACTTCATCTGTAGACAGACAGATGATGTAGATAAAGAATTACTGAATTTTTGTACTTTTCCTTCATCTGATAATCTAAAAGCTAAGAGAACACAGTCTTTTGGAATCTGGATCTGCTTCTGTCCTCAGGTGAACAGGGAGACACCTCCTCTTTTGGGTCCCTTAGAAAGAGCTAACCTCAATCACTGGATAGCCCATGTCATTGTAACCACAGCTACGTTAATACCTGAGACCAGCTATGTCAAAGAGAGATAACAGGAAAAATCCAATAAAAATTGTGATAAAGCATGCACAGACCTGAAATTAAGATGGAAAGGGAGTTGGAAAATTTTATGCAATGAACCTTGTCCATGAAAACCAGTGCACAGGATGAAGTGGAGAATTTCTGAAACCATTTTGTGCGTACCACTACCTCCACCTGTGGAGTAGAAGCTGAATACTTGGGCTTAAAACCTTACAGAAGCCCATGAAGAATCTGTGACATTGTAGTGATCGTCTCTGTAAGTTGCTAGCCTCATTGCTGATAAAAGGGATCCAGATGGGTGAAATATTCAAACCCAAAGGTTCATTACTGTGTTCAAAAGAGCCCTCCACTGGTCCCTATACTGAGCCAGATCAATCCAATCCATACCATCCCATCCTACCTCTAAGATCCATTTTAATATTGTCCACCCACCTACGCCTTGGTCTTCCCAGTGGTCTCTTTCCTTCTGGCTTTCCCACCAATATTCTATATGCATTCCTCTTCTCCCCCATTTGTGCCACATGCCCTGCCCACCTCATCCTTGACTTGATCATTCTAATTATACTTGGAGAAGAGTACAAGTTATGAAGCTCCTCCTCATGCAGTTTTCTCCAACCTCCTGTCACTTCATCTCTCTTCAGTCCAAATATTCTCAACACCCTGTTCTCAAACACCCTCAGTCTGTGTTCCTTGATTAATGTCAGAGACCAAGTTTCACACCCATGCAGAACCACAGGCAAAATTATAGTTTTGTATATTCTAATTTTTATGTTTTTGGACAGCAGACAAGAAGACAAAAAGTTCTGGACTAAATGGTAGCAAGCATTACCTGAGTTCAATCTCCTCTTAATTTCTTCCTGAATCTGTTTTTGATTTGTTATCGTTGTTCTGTAAAGTATAAGGAATGGAATTATTACTTTTCTTTTATATGCTGGTGGTCCACCCCAAACTGGTTCACTGTCCTCTAGGAGACCCTGATTGATGTCTTGCCTAGACCTATATACTGTTTGGTAATTGAGGGGCTGTTTCATAAAAATGTAATAACTTGAAAGACCTCTGTGTTCAAAATAAGCAGATGTGGAAAATTAAATATATTTTTCATAGTTGTACGATCTCTTTATACATGGTTTATATCAGTTACTTTCAATAGAAACCCAGCTTCTAAACATCTGTCACATGAGACCAAAGCAGGCATAGTAAAATCTGTAATTGGTTTAACAGTAAGAAAATGGTTATAAACCAGCTGTGTAATAATCCATTTGTTCAATTTTTCAAAGTTATCTAATGCCATGACAATGTTTCACTTGACTTACAGGTTATTTCTTGCACACTAACATCTGTGAGATGCAGTGATTTGGATCCGGTGCTAGCAAGTTTACTCCTTGAAGACCTGGCATTGGTCTGGTCACAGATAATTTTTGTTGGTTTGGATTGTGGTCAGGTGTACTGTGTTCCAGTAGTGACAGAAAGTAGATCTGCTTCCGTGGCTGGATCTAAAATCGTATATAGCACTACACAGTCCATTGCAGGAATTGTGTTTCTCAGAGGTTGGTGAATTATGACTTGATTAATTCCAGTATTTTTTCCTGAAATGAAAAATACTGGAAAGATATGTGCTCACAGCATAAAGGTACGGTCTCCATGCATCTGCAATTTATATCATGGAGACAGATGAGGAGTATTGTATTAAGAGACTCAGTTTTTAGCCTACTTTCCCACATTTTGAAAAAAAATAAATGAAATTATGCTTATGAGATCACCTTAATGTCTGTGTGTGTGATTGTGTATCTCCATGTAACAACTTTCGAATACCTGTGCTGATCTTCATGGACCTTGGTATGTATATCATGCCACCTCAATGCCTTACTCCCCATCAGTAATACCAGTGCTGCAATCTCTGAAATTGTTGACATAATAAACTTAATATTACTTGAATGCTCCAAATGATCATCATGAATCTTGGTATGTATATAATGTCACTTTAGGTCGTTTCATCAGAGTACTTCATAGATCCTCAGTAATTCCAACACTGCAGCCTCTGAAATTGTTCATGTACAAACAATGCCACAACCAGGTGTCATTGAACTTGGTATGAGTATCATGCCACCTGAGGTGATCTGAATGGCCTACTTCATAAACTTTTCTTATTAGTAATACATACATACATACATACATTTCATTTCACAAGTCCAAACAAATGGACATGAAGGGCGTCATACAAAAATTTAAACAAACACACAGATAACGAAATAATTAAAACTAATTGCTTATGTTATGCTCCACATATTCAGAAACTGTATAAAATGAATTATTCATAAGATATAAAAACAAATTTAAACAAACACACAGATAACAAAATAATTAAAACTAATTGTTTATGTTATGCTCCACATATTCAGAAACTGTATAAAAGGAATTATTCATAAGATATAAAAACAGCCTATTTTTAAAACTAATTCTATCCTCTTTAAGGCTTTGAATGGTTATGGGCAATCTGTTGAATAGTTTAATGGCAGTAAACATAGTACCTTTCTGAAAAGCAGAAAGATTCGAGTTTGGCAAATATAATTGCTTTCGATTTCTTGTATTCAAACCATGAACATCTAAACCTGAACAAAATTTAGTTTGATTATCAATCACAAACATCATCAACGAGAGAATGTATTCACATGACAATGGCAGTATATTCAATTTCTTAAAAAGATCCCTACAAGAGTCTCTAGGTCCCACTCCAGATATAATCCTTATTACTTTTTTTTTGTAATTTAAAAACTCTAACATTATTCGTTGAGTTGCCCCCAAAAATTATTCCATACTTTAGAATAGAGTGGAAATAAGAAAAATACACCATTCATAAAATTTTTTTACTCATAAAATAAGATAAACTCCTAATTACAAAAATAGCTGAACTAAGTTTAGGGAGAATATACTCTACATGACTCTTCCAGTCTAAATTCTTATCAATTTGCAGACCCAAAAATTTTATCACAGAAACTTCATTTATAAACAAATTCCCACTAGCAACTGCCAGAGAGTTATAGGACTGTTTTAGAGCAAACCTAATAATATTAGTTTTAGTGATATTTAAGGCCAACTTATTAGCTGTGAACCAATTTATAATAAGAGACAGTGTACCCCTGACTTTATGCTTAAGCTCATCATGATTATTACCAGTAACCAAAACACTGGTATCATCAGCAAAAAGAAAAACTTTAGCCAATTTATTAATATATGGAGGCAAATCATTAATGTAAATAATAAATAGAAGTGGTCCCAAAACCGACCCCTGCGGAACCCCTTGTTTAACTCTTTCCCAAGATGAAAAATAGTCCTGACCATCATTAGTTTTGATGTACACACACTGTTTTCTATCCCAAAGATATGATTTAAACCAGTTTAATACACAACCCCGGACACCATAATACTCTAGTTTAGATGTCAATATTTCATAGTTAACACAGTCAAAAGCCTTAGCAAGGTCACAAAAAATCCCTGCAGTTTGCAGTTTGTCATTCCAGGCCTGAAGTATGCCAGTCGTAAAAGAAAAAGCAGCATGGTCTGTTGAAAAATTTTTCCTAAAGCCAAATTGTTCCTGCACCAGAATATTATTAACTTGTAGATGCTGACTCAATCTACAATGCATAACTCTTTCCAAGACTTTACTAAATACAGTCAACATAGAAATAGGTCTATAGTTCGTAATATCAACCTTATCTCCTTTCTTATACAGGGGCTTTATAACAGCATACTTCAAGCATTCAGGAAATACACCATTAATGATAGACATATTACAGATGTAGGAAAGGGGCGCACTTATAAAGACGCTACAAAGTTTTAATACTTTAGATGAAATCCCATCATAACCAGAAGACTTCTTTGATTTTAAAGAACAAATTATATTGATAATTTCTCCTCTGGTTACATGAATTACTTTCATACTATGAAAAATAGGCTGAAAAGCGTTCTTTAATAATTCAAGAGGTGAACTAGTTTTATCAGGATGTGTTTGCAGACTATGAGCAATATTCAAAAAATACTCGTTGAAAGCATCAGCAACATCATTAGATTGAATGTTCCTATTATCCATTTTAAACATAACCGGCATATAATTGTCTTTGGTGGATTTATGCAATACATTTCTTATAATATTCAATGCTGTTTTATTTCTATTATTAGACATTTCAATTAACTGATTATAATATAATTTTTTTGCTTCATAAATTACTTTCCTTAAAATAAGACAATACTTTTTATAATAAGTTATACTAAGGTAATAATTTTAATGTTACTTGAATGCCTGAATGGTCGTCGTGAAACTTGATATGAAACCATGCTATGTAAGGCAATTTCAGTAATGTATTCCACAGATACCTCTCTTCTGTAGTTCCATCATTACAGCCACTCAGTTTCTTGATGTGGAAGCCATACTTTTAAGCTTGATATTACCTGGACACTCATTTTATGGATATACCGCCATTTACAGTCCCTTAATGGATCTCTTTTTATATGTACTGTGAAAAATTAAATTCCAAAAATACAGTAGAAATATTATTATGCACACATAAAAATAAAAACAGCAAACACATCAGTGGCAGTAGAACGTACACAAACACAGGCCCAAAGAATGTGTATAAAGAATGAAATAAAATTCGTATACATAAAAAGAAGCAACCAAATAAAATTGTATACTCACTTCACATTGGCAATGTGAAAAAATGTAAAAACACATGGAATATAATTTTTTAGAGTATTGCAGAAGAGTTAGAGGATAACATGAACCACATACAGAAACTTAAACAAAAAAAATACAAACATACTGACTACAACAGAAACATAAAACAGCAAACACCTTCTACAAACACTTGTAGAATTTAACCATTATCACATTTACCAATGATGAAATGCAACTTACACACTTGTTGGAACAGCACTGTGTTCTTCAGAGATATCTTAAAATAGGTAATGCTTGGAAACACTTGTCAGCAAAGCATGACATTAAAATTCTTATAAGGACTATGTATTCATCATTCAGTAGATCATATGTGAAGAAAGAATAGTTCAGTATGCTAGCCACAGTTATAGAGTAAGTGCACTAATGTGAAACTGTAGTGTCCTGATTGACTGTTGCACAAAAGAAGTGAACAGGTGAAATGATTGAGTAAACAAATATTGCCTGAAGATGCTCACAAATTTGCATTCACCCTGAATGGCATAACCGAGCAAATTGTTTCAGACGAGGTGCTTGACAGCAGTTGAAACTGTGCAGTTTGCAGTGGCTGAGTTTAATAAACTGAGGACTCAGTATCTAGGTGAAATTGTTTATTGGAGAGCTGAAGTCAAGAAAGTTCTGGCTGCTGTGAAGGGTGATGCTAACACTGCTCCGTTGCAATTACTATGCTGCTTACCATTTTGAGGATTTTCAGAAGAGAAATTAGTGGAGTGGTATGAATTTGAACAGGTTGTAATTGTGAAAACAAAGGACAGTGTGATATTATGACTGACAGTAAAACATTGCATCCTTATACTAAACTGTAAAGAAAATCTGGACATAAAGATACATGAGAGTTTTGATTTCATAAGAGGTTTCATCTGGAGAAAGTGGCAACTTTGATGCAGTGTACAAGCATTGGACAGCAAATACAGACAGTGCAAAAAGCTTCCAATAGAACAGCAAAGCAAAAAATGTCTTGTACACTGGCAGTGCATAATGTCCTGATAGAGTCATTAAAATGTATTATAGACATGTTTCTGCAACTGTACATTGTTTACACCGTTTTGTTAACGTTAGCATATGAATGTATATTTTTAATGGTAAATGAATGAACTGCAGAAATGAACTGTATCTTCCACTTGGTGGGAGCTCTGATTGACTGCTTAGGCAGTTATCCACTCAGGTGGCACAGAAATTAGAGAGAACATCACTCTCAAGCTTCTTTAAGTTGTTCTCAGTAAGGTCTTGCCACATTGGCTGTTTCTCGTTGGACACTGCAGGGAAGATTGTAAGGTAGATTGATATGCCTAATGAGGAAGTTCAAAGGTAGGGACAAGAAATTCATATGGCAGAGAACACTCTTAAACAGCAATGTACTTGCAGAATTGAGTAGGGGGTGGAAGGATAACATGAAAATGGAGGTTAAGGAAATCACTATAGGAATATAAATAGTATTAAACTAGATCGGGAATGTGACCAGTGGTAGACTTTAGGGGTCTGTTGCCAGATGGTTAGTATGTGGTTATTTGTATATAATTTTGAGAGATAAGAGGGATCTTCCCAAAGTTCCTGCATTTTCATATTATTGAACAAAATGGAAAGAGCAAGAGGGGTGGGGGTTGGCAGGAGTTATGCGACTAGTTGGCAAGGCAAGCCTGTTGACCTTGCAGTTAATGTGAGAGTTGCTACAAAGCAGTGAACATGGCAGTGAAACTTGAGAATTGCACCAAGGAGCAGCAGCAGTAATCTGTGATATATTTTTGTGGGCAGAAGATGTACCAAATGGACAGATCCATCAGCACATGGGTGCTCATTATGGGAACAATGCTGCCTCTTGTAGAGTTGAGTGGGGTGGATTGAAATATATAAAAATGGACATATGGCTGTGACTGATGCAGAGCCAATCACATCCACAACTGCACAAAATGAAGAAAGAGTTAGAAAACTGATTCTTCAAAACAAAAGAGTGACAGTCAATGAAATTGTAGAACAACTCAATATCAGCATTTGGTGTGCCTATTCTGTGCTGCATGATAACCTTCCATTCCATAAAATGTGTGCCAGGTGGGTGCCTAAGGAACTGACAGTTGAGCATAAGTGCATTGCTTAGACATTTTTCCTGCCACTTGACTTGTTATTGCGAAGAAGGTGACAACTTTCTGCAACACATCATCACAGGAAATGACACCTGGCTTCACTACTATCAACCAGGCACAAGCGGAAGAGCATGCAATGGAAGCATCCATCATCTCCTGTTGCAAAGAAATTCAAGACCTAACCACTGGCATGCAAGTTGGTGTTGACCATCTTCTAGGATTCTCAAGGGCCTATTCTTGAGACCCACCTGGAACATGGAACAACTGTCATAAGTGGAACCTATTGCAACATGCTTCAGAGAGGCCTGAAGCCTGTAATCTGCTGTAAATAAGAGGGAGACTGTCAGAGTGCTACCTGCTGTTGCACGACGTCTCTCACCATGCTGCAATGCACATGTTGGAAACCCTCGGGAAATTGAAGTGGGTAGCCATGGAACATCCAGTTCACAGTCCAGATTTTGTGTCATCTGATTTTCACCCTTTTTGACCACTTAAAGAAGCTTTAGGAGGGAGAAGATTTCGATGTGACGACGATGTAAAGAAAGCAGTGCAACAGTGGCTACATGTGCAACTAAAGACTATTATGATGGCATTAAGAAGTTGGTAGGACACTAGGAAAAATGTGTTGAATAGCAGGGTGATTATACAGAAAAATGATGCATTTTGTTCTTGTAATCATCAGTAAAGTACAGTTGTAAAATATGAAGTGTGGAAACTTTTTGAAGATCCCTCATATTACAATTTGTTGCAGACCCAGTGACATGTCTGTATTCTCATGTGGGTGTGGTGCTATGCAGTGGTCCAGTGGTATACATTACAGCCAATCAGCAGAAGTTAAGTTACCATATGGTGTATCTCCCTGGGTCTGTGGAGGGATGTTGCACTGTGAAGGATGGAATCGTAGCTACAGATGGTTTGGATCTCTGGCATAGCAAACTGACCTGGAGTAGTGAGGGTCAGCCAGTGGTGGAGAACAGGGTGTTGGGGATAAAGGGAGTTTGTGCCTTGGATGTGGTTCCCCATTCAGATGCCATACTTGCAGTTACGGTAAGTAGAATTATAAGCTGGAAAACTTAACACCTTCACCAGAAACTTAACACAAAATTCATATTTGTCCAAGAGGCAAATTTTTTTGGAAAAGAAATAGGCTGCCTAGCTCCATAACTAACTGCCATGTAGTCACCATTATTATATTCTTAATTACAGTGGCAGTCCTGATTAGTATTTTTGTTCATTGTGTTTCACATGCTTTCATCAGGTTGCCAATTTGTCTTTGTGAAATAGCTGTCCATATTATAAAGAAGGATAGACGTTGAAATATCATTAGGTATTCTAACTTTATATGTTGCCTTAACTGTTCTTTACCACTGCTTGAATGCAGTAATAGGTACCTATTGAGTCTGATATATGTTATAAGAACAGATGCTAAAATCTGCACTGCAACTGAAATATCACATTGTGAGCATTTGTATCAGAAGTTTCTGATCACAGTTCAGGATGTATTAAATTTCTTGTTCTGTTTAAAATTTGCATACCATTAAATTCAGGTCCTGCTGTAAAATACTGATTTTGTCGACAGCTTCATCTCACATTGTACTGCATTCAGCTGGGAACTAAAATGTCATCCAGCCAACAAAAAAATTTTACTATTCCACCCAGCATTATGGCTGACATGGACAGGAAGATGCAGTGCCTTACCAGACTCAAACAAGAGATGGCTATGGAGGAAAAGATGTTAGAAGCCATAAGCATTAGTAAGAGAGAGAAACTTCTCCAAAATACTTTCACACTCTCTGTACAGGTATAAAGTGTTCCATATCATAGAATGTTAGAGCAATGATTTCTTAGCTGTGAATCTTGGGGTTTTGTAATAGACACCAAGGGTTCTGCCTATATCATTAAGATTACCAGTTTAAAGGCAATATTATATTAAAATCATGAATTAACGTCCTCTTTATGCTCTGTAAGTGCCAAAAAATGTATTTACAAGACACAGTCCACCTATTCCAGCTAAAATAGTTCTACAGTAAAGAACCTTGATTATGAAATGTCTTCTCAGAGGTTCAGCCAACTACATTTTGTGGGAGCACATGCTTGGCCAAGAACCGGTGCACTATGCTACAAGCTGGCATATCGCGGGTTCAAGTCCCAATGAGGATTTTTTCAATTGACCTAATCCTTCTGGCCACATTATGGCCCTGGGGTTCACTCAGCCACAAACAGAAATGAGTACCAGGAATTAATTAAATAATTTTCCTGGAAACTAAAGCGCAGCCGGCACATAAGGCTGACAACCTTACCGCGATCTTTGAGCCGATTGTCTAGATAATATGGGACCCTCAACATCTCACAACCCTATGGGCCTTCACGGCCTGTTACAGGGATTGCTTTACTTTACTTTACATGCTTGGCCAGTTGGTAGTCAGCATGCAGTGACTCGTGTTGACACACAGTGCACCAATATTCACTGTAGAAAATTAAACTACAAGCAAGTTTTAATTAATGAATAATGAAAAGACTATAACCATCATGTTCCTTGAGGATGAATATGTGATCTTTATCTGTGGTGAAAAGTGAAACAGAAAATGTACAGAAATGATCCATGCACTTTGGAGACTGTACAAATCAAAATCTAGAATATGATTGTAGAAATCAAGAAATATGAACTTGAATATGTCACAGAATTTATGTTGGGATGTATGTTAATGTGCTTTCAGAATTCTACTTTTCGCAGCTATTGTAATTTTAGGTAAATGGAGTGGTTTTACTGAAAACATTTTTTGAGCATGGGTGGAATGTTCAGTTATGTCACACAGTAGCAGGTTATCTTATTTGAGAGAAACAGACCATCATTTGGCATCTCACTATGTGAACAGGTTGTAATAATGCTGCAAATGAAGGACTGAGCCTCTCTGAATATACATGNTACCGCTGCCACAGCCTAAGTTTAAAGGGCCGTAGGATAAAGGTTAATATCTTTTACTGAAAATATACCTAGGTTTTTATGTGCTAAACTAGAGCTGGCTTTGATCTAGTACAGGGGGTCTCCAGACTTTTCTAAATGCGGGCCACATTAGGTAATTCAGCACTTTCAATGGGCCGGATAAAATGAGAAATTAATAACTCTAGGTATATGAATTTTATTGAAAGCACAGAATTTCATAAATTAAATACAAAGTACATGAGAATAAATTATCGTATATTAATGACAACAGACAGTAGCAGCAAATGCTCATATTTTCATCACAAATTATAATAAAACAAGCTGGCATTTGTGAATGTGAATGATGTGAATGATGGGACTCTTTTTGCATTCTTAAAATCTGATTAAATTGAGGTTCAAATTTTGAAACGCTAATCACAAGTAGCGACTTTAAATGTTCATCGGATAAATTTGCCCTGTATTTTGACTTGATGTTCTTCATCTGGGAAAAAGTTTGTTCACACAGATATGTTGTCCCAAAAATGGAGAAAAATTTACAAACCAGCCGTTGTAGAATGGACTAAAGTTCCGGTAGCCTCATCAACATTCCTCGCTACCAATTCTTGGAACAGTTAGAGCAAAACTGGGCATAAGTTGCCTTCAATACAAAAATGGTAATAAGTACGACACCGGCGTTGATGATCTGTTACAATTACACTGCACCACTGCAAGAAGTTTTGTGCATAAGACGGCTAGTAACGAACTGCTCGCGCTACCTACATTGCCACGAATTGACACTGCCGATCGAGGCCAAAGAAATATGAAGAAATACCATGCAGTATACGGTCCAGAATTAGTAAAATTGTGAATAATATTAACATAATATGGAATATCAATATATTTTAAACACAGTCTTAATGAATTTGAAATCTATGAACAAGTATTTTTTTACCAGTACTCATTGGAAAATTAGCTCAGTTGGCGCATTTCTGCACAATTCTTTTGCGGGCCAGATAAAATCACATCGCGGGCCATAGTTTGGAGACCCTTGATCTAGTAGGAAGCACAAGAGAAAACCCAGTGTGTATTATTGTCCACTGTGCAGCTTTACATGTATCATCAGTAGTACAGCAGGAAATACAATGCATAATTCATGATTGCTTTTCTTTTTTTTAAATTTAGTACTGTATAGGAATTGCCCTCCATGATGTGTATGTATTGACTGTCTTCTAGTGCACATAATCTCACTTGTCACTTCGCTACATGTTTCGGCATCACTGTGCCATCCTCAGGTGTGTTATTTACGTTAAACTATTGCATTGCTTGCCATCATGTGTCGTTTATAAAATGATTTAAAATTTATATTTGTCATGTACTATAATA